TCACATACATAAAAGTCACCTTTTCAGTATGTAAAGATGTACCTGCTGAGGGCCGGCACTGTGGCATAGCAGGTTAAGCATCTGCCTGCGGTGCCGGCATCCCATTTGGGCAATGGTTCGAGTCCCGGGTGCTCTAGTTCTGATCCAGCTCGCTGCTGATGGCCTGGTAAAGCAGTAGAAGATTGCTTGGGCCCCTGCACCCAGATGGGAGACCCAGAAAAAGCTCCTGGCTCCTGGTTTCAGATCGGCCCAGTTCTGGCCATTAGGGCCAATTGGGGAGTGAACCAGTGGTTGCAAGACCTCTCTCTCTGTCTCTCCCTCTCTCTGTCTGTAACTCTGCCTCTGAAATAAATAAATAAAATCTTTAAAACAAAGTGCTTGCTGTCCCCAACATTTAATTTCAAAACATTTTCATTATCCCAACAGAAAACCCTGTGTCATCAACCCAGCACCTCTCCATTCTCCCTAGCAAACGGTCTGGGAGCTGCCATCTTCTTTCTGCCTCTGTGGGCTTACCAACCCTGCGTATTTCCTGTGGTGGAGTCACACACTGTGTGTACTTTGTGTCAGGCTTCTTTCCCTCGGCATGTTTTTGAGTTTCATCTGCACTTACACGTCTGCTTTTACTTCATTCCTTTTTATGACTGAATACTAGTCCGTTATGTGTATATACCACAGTCTGTGTATCTACTTATCAGTTGATGAACACTCGAACTGTTTCTGCTTTTTGTCTATCACAAATAGTGCTGCTATGAACATGCTTGGACATGTATTTGTTTAAGCACTGATTTCAGTTCTTTTGGGTGTATATCTAAGAGTGGAATTGCTAATCAAGTGGTGATTCTGCGTTCTTTATATTTGAAGCGTATTTCTTGCTGCATATAGGACTCTTGGGTACCAGACTTTGCCCCCTAGTTCTCAGCTCCTTGAGTATGTCAGCCTGCTGCCTTCTGGCTCCCAGTTTCTCCTGAGAAGCCAACTGTTGATCTTACTGTGGACCCCTGTACACTGATGAGTCGCTTCCCTCTTGGTGCTTCTAAGATCCTCCCCTTGTCCTTGCTTTTTACAGTTTATAATGTGTCGAAGTGTGGATCTGAGTTTATCCTACTGGGAATTTGGTGAGCTTCTTCTGGAAATACAGATTAATGTTTTTCATCAGATTTGAGAAGTTTTATTTCTTCAGACATGTCGCTCCCCCTCTTCGTGGAGGAACGACACAGGACCCTGCGCTGTTCTTTCGTCTGCTCGACCCTCCCCGGGTTTGCTGCTGGTTCTCCCCGGGTTGGCTACTATCCCTTCCACCTCCGTGGAAGGGCAGTTCCCCCTGGCCGCATTCCCCACTTCCGCAGGGGAGCGGCACACCGCCGGCCGGGTCTCTCGGGGGCTGCACGGGTGTTCCTTCAGCTAGATGTTCCCCATAGATGTTCCTGGTGCATGCCGTCTCTCTCCTCCTTTATAGTCCTCCTCCGCCAATCCCAACTCGGCTGCCCACACGCCGAGTACGCTGCTCTCCAATCAGGAGCAAGTCCTACAGTTAATTGGTTGAACTGGAGGCAGCTGTGCGGAAGCTGTTTTCTCCTCTCCCAGCGCCATATTGTAGGAGAGCAGATGCATAGAATAAGTCTTAATTCCAGTAACAGTCTAGTCCGAGCTGCTCCCCACAGAGGAGAGCAGATGCATAGAATAAGTCTTAATTCGAGTAACTTAGTCTAGTCCGGATTGCTCCCCACAAGACATCTTTTCTGTCTCTGTCGCTCCTTTCCTTCAGAAACTCCCATGAGGTATTTGTTTCTATGCTGAAGTGTCTCACGTGTCTCTGAGGCTGTGGTTTTTCTTTTTCTCCCTCTCTTTAAATATGTCACTCTTATTTTAAATTTGTTTTAAGTCTGTTCTTTTCTTCCTTTTCCTCAGACTGAATAATCTCATTTGACATCTTTCAAGCTTGTTCATTCTTTTTATCTTCCTGCTCAAATCTGCTGTTCAATTCCTCTGGTATTTTTCATTTCAGTTACTGTACTTTTCAAGTTTGGAATTTGCTTTTTTTTTTTTTCTTTAAGACTAATTTATAACTTCATTTTTTCTTATTTAGTTTTTTTTCTTAAAGATTTATTTACTTATTTGAAAGTCAGAGTTACACAGAGAGAGGAGAAACAGAGAGAGAGAGAGAGACAGAGACAGGTCCTCCATCCGCTGGTTCACTCTCCAGATGGCCACAATGGCCGGAGCTGCGCCGATCCAAAGCCAAGAGCCAGAAGCTTTTTTCGGGTCTCCCATGCAGATGCAGGGGCCCAAGGACTAGGGCCATCTTCTACTGCTTTTCCAGGCCATAGCAGAGAGCTGGATCAGAAGTGGAGCAGCTGGGACTTGAACCAGCATCCTTCTGAGATACCAGCTCTGTAGGCAGCAGCTTTACCCGCTAAGCCACAGCACCAGGCCCCTCCTTTAGGTTTTTTTTTTTTTTTGTCTTAGTTTCCTGTATATGTTTGAATATTCTTAGAATACTTGATTTAAAGTCCTTGCAAGAAAGTGTTCTCAGGAACAGTTTCTCTTGTCTTTTTCTTGTTGTGCATAGATCATGCTCTTGTTTGTTTGCATACATTGTAAATTTTAATTGAAAACTAAACGTCTAGAACAATATGAAGTGAGAATTCTGGAAATCAGATTTCTGTTCCCCGTAGTTTGTTATTAGAGTTATTGTATTGACTTTTCTGAACTAATTCTATGTATTCCTTGTCACATGTGACTGACCGTTGTGGTCTCTGTTCAGTTAGCTTAGTGGGCAGCTCATGACTAGACAGAGACTTCCCCAAATGCCTGCAATCATTCAGTCTCCCGTCTTTGCCAAGGAGCTCCATGCATGTTGGGCCATGCTTTCAATGCTTGGTCTGGCAGCTGCCAACTCTGCCTTAGCCTTCACCTCTTTGCTTGCACAGAGCCTCAAGGTCAGCCAGAGGTGGGAGTGTCTCAGGTTTTTCATGAGCATATGCAGAGCCTTGGGTATACTCACACCTCTGTGCCTGAGAGGGGTCCTTTTAGATTCCCAGAGCTTTTCCAAGTTCCCTGTGGAGATTTTGCTTCTAACTTTTTGTCAGCCTGACGTTTGCCTAAATGGTTACCTTCTGCCATAGGTAGCTGTGATGTTAAACGATTGTGTATGATTATTTTCTACAAATACCCCCAGAGGAAAAAGCTGTTTGCACTGGGGAAGCTCCAAAGCAGGCCAAATAAAGCTGCCTTGCTGTTGGGGTCTGTATAGAATCAAGAGCCAGAATAATAATGGCAGTTCTCTGGGCCAGGGGCTGTGAAGGGGCCAAGACCCATGCTGCCCCCGTCAGTGCTTGACAGGCTACTGGATGTCTACGTGGTTGCGACAGTTGGTTTTCAAGGCTATCTCCAAGCTTTGGAGCGGTAGATGGAAATAGGGTACATTCACATGTCACAAGTCCCACTTGTTCTTACCAAGACTCAGCCAGAGTTACAGAGAGAGGGAGAGACAGAGAAATCTTTCATCTACTGGTTTACTCCCCCAGTGACCAAATCAGCTGGGACCGGGCCAGGACAAAGCCAGGGGCCTGACATTCCATCTGGATCTCCCACTTGAGTGGCTGGGACCCAAGTACTTGGGCTGTCCTCTGCTGCTTTCCCAGGTGCATTAGCTGGGCGTTGGCTTGGAAATGTAGCAGCCACAACTAGAATCAGCGCTCATAGGGGATGCTGGTATTATATGTGGCAGCTTAATCCACTGCACCACAGTGCCAGCCCCTCAGCCATTTTGTCAACACTCCAAAGATTGCTCAAGCCTTTGCCTGATTTCCAGAATTTTGAAAAAGTTGATTGTGACAGTGTTTGCCAGTGTTCCTGTTTTTATGGAGGAGGGGTTTGAGGATGTTCTCACTCCACCGTTTTCGGTGATCTTCCTGTGTACGTTCAGCCTTAGATTTACACCTTGTAGAAGTATCCCAAAGCCAAAGCAACAAAAACCCTCGAAATATTAGTCGTGCCCACCGACATATTTACCACCATGTTATTTATAAGAGCAGAAGATTTGGAATGTTGTGAACAAGAGTCTGGAGGAGCAAGCATGTAAACCGTGCTTGCTCTTTTGTGCAGCTGTGACAATGAAGAGGTTACCCGTGACGGAGAGGTTGCAAGCTCTGGTTCGAGGCTCAGATGGGCTACGTGTGAGTTTGTTTCTGAGGTTTTATTACCAATGACTTGGAGCAAATTAATTCACTTCTCTAAGTCTCATTTTCTAATCTATTATAAGATGGTGACAAGTCCACAGTGGTTTTGTGAGGTTTAAGTAAAATCATCTCTGTTGAATATTGACTCAGCCCAGAGAGTTACTATCTTTGATGTTGCTGTCACTCAACAGAAAATTCTGATGATATAGTGGTACATGTACAAACAGGATGGGAAATTACATGCGTATGATAACCAAAATGTGAGAAAATTTCCCTTGGCGAAACATGGGGAAACCATGGTTAGAAGAAAAAAACATCACAATGATGGGATTGTGGGCTGTATATTTTCTTTCCCCCTTTTTTCTGACAGGGTTTGGTGCTTTGTGTTTTTGGTAGAACAGGTAGATTCACTTGAAGCGGGCAGGGCTTTTCTGGCAGGGTCCTGGCGGAGCACTCCCCCTCCCTGGTAGGCCCTGGGCTGCCGAGATGGGGCTCCTGAGGCTCCTGGTCCCTGCGTTGCCTGAGTCTCCAGGAGGCCGGGTGTTCATCATCTTCTTCAAGGGCTCTTGCATTCAGAGGCCCCGGGAGCCGCGGGGTCACTGCTGCCTCCTCAGGGAGGGTTCTGAAGCTGGAGTTAACACCTAGGAGGGCCCTTCTGAATTCTGATGGCCCACACAAGGCATGTCCCCCTGGGGCCCCTGTTGTCCTGTCTGCTGCGTTGAGGGAGGGACAGGAGATCCCTGGCCAGCTGCTCCAGGAATGCACCTCATGTCACGCTCACGGTCTCTAACGGAGCTGCTTGTTTTTCCATCTCAGGTTCCGAGGGGCACCCATTATACCTGTGGCCGCCAAGCCTGGGGGACCAGAGGCCCCTGAAACTGAAGCTCCACAGGGCATCTCAGAGCTCATTGAGGTACTGTTGGCTTGATCCCAGGTTGTCCTGCAGACCCTGTCCTGCTGAGCAGGCTCCCTATGTCCCTTCTGCTCTCAGAAAGACAGACTCTGACCCCTCCGGCCTCCACACAGCCTTCCCTCCAGCCCAGGGCCCTGCAGAGTACCTGTGCTTCATGGCCTCTTCTTCCCTCTTACGTGTTCCACTCAGGTGAAGCAGCACCTGCCCATCTGGAACCCTGGGCCACGTCATTTGTTCCACTCCTTCCAGTTGCATGAATCCCTTCAGTGTCTCCCTCTGAACCAGGCACCATGCGGCCGGGTGAAGGAGATGGTGCCAACAGCACGGGCAGCACAGCTCTGTCCCAAGAGATGGAGGCCTTCACCTTTTGGAGCCATGGGCCTGAGGCCCAGGCCATTCTCCACACTCAGTGGTAGTGGACAGAGGGAGGGAGCCCAGTTGTCCAGCAGGGTGCTCAGGGCAGCAGGTGAGGAGGGTCATGTGTGTGGTGGGAGGGTCCTAAGGCAGACAGTGCTGAGAGTAGGGCCTGCAGGGTTCCCCTGTGGCGCACGTGGAGCAGCTCGTGGGTGGCGTGGCGGAATGCCTTGACCTAGCATTGGCCCCTCCACTATTGCTGCCACCATAGCCAGGTGACATCATCTCTTTTGCCTCTTTCTGGCACTTGCCATGTGCAGTTGCTGTGAGGGCTAAATGATTGGTTAATATGCTCAAAACAGTACTACCCTGGTGCTTGACAAGACCATGCTGTTGAATTTTATGTACCATGCACTGTGCTCAGTGCTTCATATATATGACTATTAGCATTCACAACAACCTGGAAGGCTTAAGATCCCATGTTATGAAGGAGAAGTCTGAGATTCTGAGAGGCCAAGTTACTTGCCCATGGTCTCACAGCCGGGATTCAGACCCACCGTGGTCGTTGGGTTTGGCATTGGGGTCCCCCCATGCCTACAGAGCACAGATCAAGTTGGAGTGTGGGCACTCCCTCTGTCTCTGCGATTCGCACTGGGCTGATCCCGCTGACCTCACACAGAAACGCTTTCTGAGTGAGGCTTTGTTACTTTTCCATCCACTCTAGTGAGACTGGTCAGGGAGCCTGGGACAGTTGTTTTTGTTAAAGCAAAATCCACAAAAATGTGGCTATGAAGGATGTTTGTATATGCCTTTAAGAGGCTTCCACATAAGTCTCCCACCAAGCCTGGTTTGAATCTCTCGTCCTTTTCCAAAAGAATTATTGTCCCAAGACTTGGGCTTTGGAACATGCACTACCAAATACTTTTTTGACAGCCTGTTCCCTTATGAAATCAGAAAATAGCCTAAGAAAAGGAATAATACAGGCTTTATTTTCATTTGTTTATTGGTGATTAGCTGTGACAACATCTCCAAGCACATGGATGGCATGGGGAACGTGGGCTGCTGAGGGTGAAGTGTGGCGAGGGCCAGCAGAAATAGAGGAGCAGCAGGCAGGCCACGGGGGCCCACTCGCCTGGGGCAGTCCCTGGGCCGGGCCTGAAAGGCTCCGCTTCGCTCTGTGTAGCTGCTGTCCCGGGCTCCCCAGTCCCTGGACTGCCCGTGCCACACCCTGGTAGCTGCCCTGGGAGCAGCCCTGCTCCTCATCCCTCCCCGCATCCCCTTTGTGTTTGCTTCATTCACTTGTCATTCTCTCAGGCGCCATGCCAGCTGCTGGAGACACTTGCAAGTCCCCACTCCCCGTGGGGGGACAAATAAACAAATGATCACAACAGTGTGTTAGCTGTGGTGACTGGGGGAGTAAAGCCCTTCCAAAGGTGAGGCCGAGCCTGCCGAGAGGCCAGGCCTGCCAGCGCTAGCGCCGAGGCGAGACGAGACGCGGGTGGCTCCCAGGGCTGGAGGATGAGGAACCTTAAACCCCAAGCCTGGGGAAGCGGTGAGGTCCGGGTGCTCCCTAGCAGCTGTCTCTACAGAGACCACGAGGTCATCCTGACGAGAGGCTGGAGCAGGCTTCTCCACGGGCCCTTTTCCTCAGTAGCTTACAGTGCAGTCTGGGAGTTGGCCATCTGAACTTGCAGCCCGGCTGGCCAGGACGCGGGTCTTTCAGCTCTGTCTTGCCTTGTTAGCCTCCCTGAGCACTGGCCAGCCTCGCCCTTGCACTCCCCTGCCCTGCCCCATCTGCCCTTGTATGACAGGCTGTGGCAGCAGCGTCTCTTTTCTAGCTCCTGACATCCCAGATTTCCATTCCATCAAGAGACCCCTCGGGGCCGTTCCTCATGTCCGTGGACCACTGCTTCTCCATCAAAGGCCAAGGCACTGTGATGACGGGGACCATCCTCTCAGGCTCCATCAGCCTCGGCGACAGTGTGGAGATTCCTGCCCTCAAGGTCAGTCTCACTTGTCCTTCCTTTTGGCCTCCCTGTCTAGCAGCAGGAGGGGTCCCTGTGCTGCACAGCTGCTAAGCCCGCCGGGCCTGCCTCATGTTCCTCCTGCTGCCCGGGCTGGCCCAGCCGCTGCCCTGGCCAGCCTCTCTCCGGGCTGCCCTACCTGCCCAGCTCTACGTTGCCCTCCCCTTACATTCTAGAGCTGCTGTTCTCCCAGTCCTCAGGGCAGCACCTGCTTCTTGGTGCCCATGATGGCCCGGGATGAGGGGCTCCCTGGTAGTTGTTCTTTGTAAATATAGAAAATGTGGACGCTGAAGGTCAGGTGGGCATGAGATCACACGGTCAGCAAGTGAGGGCCACAGACCCTGCCTTTCTCCGAGCCTTTACTGCCTCAGGACAGCAAAGATGTGTGGGGCTGTTTCTAGGGACCTTTGTCTTAGCCCCAATGATCCAAGAGTTTTAAATTGAGCACAATCTGAATCTTGTGGTGCTCAGAGCCATGATCTGGTAGAAATCCGGGCTGGTTTCATGCTCGTGGTGGCCACTGGCAGGTGCTGTATTACCCCCTGAAGACCTGGAGTCCCCCCGTGTCTCCCACCTGCTGATACTATGGCCTGGCTCTGACTCCAGAGCTGCCCAGTGGCCTTGACATTCCCTTTGTTCAGAGGGCGTTTCTTAGAGTTCTACTTTCCTGGACAAGACAACCTTACATCCTCCAGGACTGCTGTTTCCTCGCAGCGGGATTAATGGTGAGAAGCAAGGGCTGGTGAGAACCAGCTGACGGCCTTCCAGGGATGCTGGGGCCAAGGCCATTCTCTGGTCCTCAGAGGCGTCCAGGGTGCAGGGAAGCAGAGGCGCCCTCTCAGCCCTGTGGCTTCAGCTGGCTGCAGGAGAGGCTTGGATGCACTCCAGCTCTGGGTGAATGGATTCCGTTTGCATGCTTATTGGGAGCGACTTCCTGGAGTGCTGTGCCCAGGCTGGTTTTGAAGCTGTCTGGCTCACCAGTGGTACCAGGGTTCTCTGAGGACCAGTGTACTTATACACGTGTGTAGATAACGTGTATTTTAAGGAATTGGCTCACGTGAGAGTAAAGCCTGGCGAGTCCCAAGTCTAGGCGGCTACGGGAGAGTGCGGCTCAAAGGCCGCCTGCTGGCTCACTCAGTCTCTCTGTTCTCCTCGGGCCTCCCACTGATCCCATGAGACCCACCGTAGTGTGGAGCAGTCTGCAAACAGGAGTCTCAGCCAAATACACTCTCACAGAAATCCCCAGAATAGTGTTTGGCATGTATCTAGCCATCACAGTGCAGCCAAATTGACACATAAAAAGCCCCTTGTCACCAGGTGAAAGAACCACGGTAGTGACTGCTGCCCCAAGTGAAGGGAGAGAAGGGGTGCTCTGGCATCCACGCCTCGTGTGCTGCACCTGGCAGCATGGTGGGACTTAGGGGAGGGGAGTTGCATGGGGGCAGGAATGTGCAGCGCACCCGCAGGGGAAGGAAATCCAGGGCTACATTTTTTTTAAAAGATTTATTTAATTATTTGAAAGCCAGAGTTACACAGAGAGATAGAGAGGCAGAGAGAGGGAGAGAGAGAGAGAGAGATGGCTGTAACGGCTGGAGCTGTGCTGATCCGAAGCCAGGAGCCAGGAGCTTCTTCTGGGTCTCCCATGTAGGTGCAGGGGCCCAAGGACTTGGGCCATCTTGTACTGCTTTCCCAGGCTATAGCAGAGAGCTGGATCAGAAGTAGAGTATCCGGGACTTGAACCAGCACCCATATGGGATGCTGGCATTGCAGACGGCAGCTTTACCCAGTATGCCTCAGCGCCGGCCCACCCCAGGTTACATTTTTGTGGTGGTTACTTCTTCCTAGGACTCGAGGTTTCAGGGGAGATTGGCTCTGGCCAGGTCCCAGAGCTCCTTGCATTTGGATATGGGAGTCAGACAAGGCCCTGGCCTTCCCTGAGTGTTACGGCCTCCCCTGGACACAGTGGACAATGCTTTCTCTTCTACCTGCTCTTGTAGAGCCTCCTCTGAAAACCCCTAGTTCCAGTGACAGACCACTTACCTCAAATCCACTTTAACCTGGGCACTAAGAGACCCAACCTTAGAAAACAAAGCCTAAAACTGTGAGAGTAAACTCAATGATATATAACAAACTTGAGAATATAATTCTTAGCTGGAATAGCAAATGTATCAACACGAAATTTCTTCCCAGTCCCTGTGCTCCCAAGGCCTCCCTTCCGCCCTGGGAAAAGACATTTGCAGCTAGGGCAGAGATGAGCTGGGAGTAGGAGAGGTGTCGGGAGAAGGCTCTGTCAGGGGAGACTGAGAATTTGGGGTCTGAGGCTTTGAGGGAGGAAAAAGTGTTGCTATCAGGGCCAGTGGCTGTGCCGCTTGGCCCAAGGACCTGCAGAGGGGTGAGGCAGAGTGTCAGCCATGGTCAGCAGGCAGGGCTGTTTAAGTGGGTGTGGATTCTGAGGTCTTTGACCACCCTTTCCATCCTTGTAAAGGTGGAACTTGCCTGTTAGGAACCCAGTTCCTAATCATGGCAGGTACGTGGCAGATACAAATTTTATTCTTTGTCCATTGAGAAAAACACAGAGCCATTAAAGTCAAAGCAAAATGGAGTTTTGTTTGGGAATAGCGTTACAGTGGGAGCCACAGAGCATTGCCTTGGAAACACATGCCATAGGAAACTCTGGGTCTGCTTATAGAGGTTGCAGAAGGGGACGCTTTCAAAGGCAAAGATGAAAATCAGGTCAGATATTTTGAAACAGTATCTTTAATACCGAGGTAGCCGTCAGTCTGAGGTTGAACTGGCAGTTGCTGGGCAGATGTCCTGCAGAAGTGGCCCCTGTGTAAGGTTGTGGTTCTGGCGGAGCTTTGTGGGGTTACTTTCAGTCAGCCATGTGTAAGAACCCTGCTTTCATCACATCCCTGCTTTATTTGTTTATCTTTGCCAGGGTTGTCACAGTGACTCCATTTTGATCCTGTACCTTTCTTCCCCGGCCTACTTTTCAGCCCTCTTGTTATCTACTATCTAATTCTCAAATTTTTTTTTTTTTTTTAATGTATGTATTTGAAAGACAAAGAAAGAGAGGGAGAGGGAGAAAGAGAGAGAGAGAGAGACCTTCTATCTGCTAGTTTACTCACCAAATGGGTGCAGTAGCAAGTGCTGGATCGGACCCGAGCCAGGAGCCAGGAGCTGCATCCTGGTCTCCCACATGAGTGTGGGGGCCGAGTACCTGGGCTGTCATTTGCTGCCTCCCAGGTGCATTAGCAGTGAGCTGAATTGGAAACAGAGTAGCGAGGACTTGAGCCAGCCCTCCAGTGTGGGAGGCCAGCTTTACAAGTGGTAGTTTAACCCGCTGTGTCACAGAACCTACCCCTGACTCTCTGATTTATTAGCAGGAAAAGCAGAACTTGTGAGCAAAAATTCACTTAGCCTTGGATATTTGGCTGAAGAGGTTTCCAGGCCAAGTGTGGAAAATGTGACTTTGTTTCTCCTTTGCTGCTCGCAGTAAATGTGAGGGAAAGGATGGATGGAGGAAGGGATGCTAGTGGGGAGGAGCCAGCACTTGATGATGGTTTGTGGAGGGGTGCGGGGAGCGGGGGGCCATTCTGGCTCCCTCCAGACTGGGAAGGATGCTAAGGCTAGGAAACTGACTGTTGACAAGGCGAGCTCTGGGCGAGTGCCGAGGGTGAGACTGGACACCGTTTCGTTGGGGAAGTCAGGTATGTGGTCGATGGACCCAATCTCACATTTCAGCAGAGGCGAGCAGTGGAGAGGGACTGACTTAGTCTCTTGTTCTTGAAATATCTGAGAATAGCAAGGTTTTTGATAATATTATGGCAGCAAAAACCCTAGACTAAAAGGGATAGAGAGACTCAAAACGATGAGAAAAAAAAAGAAAAGAAAAAAGCTGTTGGACTTCTAGGATTCTGCAGTCAGGTGGTGAGCTAATGGAACTACTCAGCCACAAGCTCGTGACACCCTTCCGAAACAAGGAGAGAATGGAACCAGGGCAGAGCTGTGGACACAGGAGCAGAGGCCAGAGAAGCGGCCCAGAGGGCGAGGATCAGGCTACAGAAGGTCATCCTCAGGTCTTGAAACCTAATGGAATTTGCCCTGCTGGGTTTCAGACTTGCTCCGCACCAGTGGCCCCTGCGTTCCTTCCATGTCTGCTTGTTAGGATGGACTGTCTGTCCTATGCCTGGCTCACCACTGCATCACAGAGCAGGTCAATTGATGGAGAAGCAGTTTGCCCCAGGATGGGTCCTACCCAGCATCACCCATTCTGATTAGGTGACGTAGAGGATGAGGCTCATGGCTTTGTGAGCTCGTGATATGTATTTAGATGAGATTTGGGGCTTAGAATTAATGATTTAATGGGGTGATGTTTGGTGGAATGTTGGGATGGGATGACTATATTTTGCACGTGGGATGGACATGAAGTTTTGGAGATCAGAGAGTGGACTGTACAGTGTTGAACTGTGACCTCCACTACCTCAGCTTATGACCTTTGTGGAATAAGGGCCTTGGCAGGTGTGATGACTGTGAAGATCTCATGACAAGGCCTCTTGATGTGGGAAGGCCATTACATCCAATAACAAGTGTTCTCAAAAGAGACTGACAAGCAGACGGCACCAAGGTTCACAGGAAAGTGGTACATGTGGAGTCCAGGATGGAGCTGTGCAGCCTCGCCCAGGAGCACCGGGGGTGATGGCACACACACGAGGCCAGGAGAGAGGCGTGGAACAGATTCTCCTCCAGGGCCTCCCGGGGAACCAGCCCTGCTCCAGGTTGCTGGGCTTCCAGAAGTCTTCTGCTGTAAGCTGCCAGGTTTGTGGCCCATGGAATAGCAGCCCTAGGAAGCCAATATGGAGATTTTGTTTGTTTGTTTTTATTTATTTGTCTGAAAGACAGAATTAGAGAGAGAGGCAGGGAGAAAGAGAGAGATATCACCCATCCTCTGGTTCATTCCCCACATGCCTACAACAGGC